AGGGAGACTGTTGGAAATAGACCCACAGGCACCTTAGAGAGATAGAGGGAGAAAGCAAAGAGAGGAGTAGGATTTGCTGTGCGATAGGGACCCAGATTGGTGTTTAAGTATTTTAGTTTGAAATAGTTTACTTGTATTTCTGTTCTTGAATGGAGGCTTGGGGTGTGTCTGTGGGGCTGAATGGAGGTCACAGGCAGGGGGCCTAGGAGGAGCTTCATGCTATTAAGGGGCTGAGGCTAGGGTGGAGCCCTGGAAGTGTCCAGGACCTGGAGGGGTGTGGGTAATAGTCAAGTAATTCAGAGTCAGAAGAAAATAGCTCTTTAAGGGTCAGAGACCTAGGGGCCTAAAGCCATTATAGGGCCAGAAGGCCCACTGAATAGAGCCAGAGTAAGACCTGTAAGGCATGGGAGTGGTGATGAGAGGTCACGATTCATGTCCCTAAGGCATAATTAGGGTCTGTAGGGCCATGGTTGGCACTTATAGGGCAACTTGGTATCTGCAGGGTACAAGTGGTGCTGGGTAGGCATGAGAAGCACTGGCAGGAAGCAGAGTAGTTTTTTGTTAGCAGACTGAGTGTCTGGAGGCAAGTAGGACCAAGCGTCCAACCAATTAAGCAATGGCCCCACTACCAGGATTGCGTCAAGACTCTGGGGCAGCCTTCTAATGTACTACGACATTCATATCAGGGCATGGCAGGTGACACAGCATGGGGGGACAGAGGAGCTGGAGTGAGGCAGGATTAGCATGGGCACCAAGGCTCAGCCACCCACAGGGGCAGGTCCTGTCACAAAGGTCCTAAAATCCTTGAAAATTTGAAACTTAATAGAAAACATTCTGGAAACTCAGGCTGAGTCTGACACAGATAGTGAGAAGAAGTACCATACCAGGTATAAATGGAAAACTTTGTCGGGGGTATGACCTGGACATGGCGGGGGTCAGGGATCAAAAAACAAGGGTCTATAATACCTTAAGTCCAGAAGCCAAATCAAAGGTCATAGTACCTAATGTCAGTTAGAGTCTGATAGTTTATGCTAGGGGATCAAGGAAGTTGAGGTCAGGTCTGGAAATAGGGATTTCCTTCCTGACCTGCGCAGAAGACAAACGTCTAATAAACCAGAGTCTAGCCAGATTCTATTAATACCATTGAATGTAATTTCTATATATACATTATTACACTGATAGTGGAGGTGATTTTTTTAAAGATTTGTAAAGATGTAATAACTTCATGCATTCTAGAATTTCATTTCTATATTTGCCTGAGTAAAAAGTAAAAAAAAAAGATACATTTTGAAATGTTTCTCTTTTGAAAGGGCTCTAAATCAGTGCCTCTAAACCTTCTTACACCCAAGGCACCCCTCAGTAGACTTGAGGCACCCCTTGAAAAATGTCAGCTCTTAGTTTTGTGTTTTTTGACTAGAGAAAAATACTAGAGAAATATTTCTATTGCAAAGGCCTCAGAAAGACCACAGCACGTCAGGATGGTTTTAACACTAAGGATTCATTTTTTAAATATCTGTGAATCATGCTTGCACACCTAACATTCTTAATGTTGTTTGGTATTCTGTGGCACCCTTGACAGGATCTCAAGGCATCTCAGGGTGCCATGTTGCCCTGACTGAGGATCACTGCTCTAAATGTATGTGTGTTCATACCTTACATTTAGGCAAGATGGAGCAGGGTATCCAAGGAATAGTACTGAAAGAGTTTGATCCAGCTGTAGGCACAATCCTCCCTGTGCCCCTTCCTGGGGCACAGGATTCCTATAGCACTCTCTAGGTGGTGCAGTAGCGTAAGTACCACAGTCTGCCCAAGATATACAAAGTCAGCTGCTAAATGTGACCAAAGCTTACACTTCAGGGTTGTTGGTTATAACCATTGTGGCATCTTGCGCCCTTCTGGCCGCCCGGCCTATCGGGGTTTGGCCCCTCCCCTCAACTCGTCTGCCACGACTTTGATATTAAACTTACTATTAGAGGGGCCTTCAGTGGAGATCTTTCCTGGGTGGGCCTTCTCGATGGATGGCGGTACTTATGATCGTTGGATGCGATGTTCCATGGGGCTCCGCCTCCCCTACACCCTGTCCACTTGCCAACTGGTTGGTGATGTATTAATGATGTTTTCTGGCCCTGTAGGTTGGCTGAGGGCCTGTCTACAGGGTTCCAGTTGCTCTTTCTTCCCCCTTGGGGTCGTTTTTACTTCAAAGAAAATATTCCTCTGAGTAGGAGGGGGCTGCAGGGCTGCCTCCCTTATCCCAGCCCCCTCTAGGGATCTCAGATGCCTCCTCTCTCCTACCATAATCAGGGAGCTCCCCTGCCTCCTCGGTGTCAGCTTCTTCCAGGGGCTGTGTGGCTGCTCCTGCTTTTCCTCCCACAGGAGGCTTAAAGCTTTCCCTGGTGCTGCCTGCGTGAGCCACGCAGGCTGGGGTGCTTCCCCACTGTGCCAGAGCCTGCCTCACAAACTGCCAGCCCGTTCTTTCTCTCTCCGGCTCTCTCCCCGCTCCAGATCTGGCGGGGCTTTTAAATTTTCCCGCAGCGGCTGGTACTGCCACTGGGATTGGCTCAGCTGTTTCCTGCGCTGGAAACAGCTGATTAAATAGCCGGCGTAATGCCAGTTTGCGTGTCTGTGGCCACGGGCACGGCTCCTGCTCCAGCTGCCCTGTGGGAGGTAAGTTAGCTCCACCAGGGACCTGTTCTCGGGGTCTGGTGCCCGCGGGGTCCACTCTCTCCCCCTCAAGAGTCTGTGGTGGTGCCTCGCCACCACAACCATGTTGGTCTAAGGAAGGACATAGACAGACAAGGTTCTTTGGGTAAATGTGATTACGTTTTATTAGATCAATAAAATAGTTGGAAAAGTTGTTCTTTACAAGGTTTCGGGCACAAACACCTTTCTTCAGGCATAGGGAGGTCTGCTGATGTTTGTGTACTCTCCATGATGGAATACAAGCTTAGGCCAATATGCAAAATGCAGGTCTTTGAAAATACAAATGCATGACAGGAAAGATCAGAGAGGGGAATGTTGACCTGGTGATAGAAAGTAGTTGGTAAAATATAGAGAGGTTACCTGGTGTTATTGGTTGGCAGGCAGGTTATAATGTGCCATAAATTCAATGTCTATATTTAGTCCATGATTTTTTTGTATCCAGTAGATTTATGAAGGGAAGTTCGTAGGCTCGTCTATGAATGGTGTTTTGTAAATTCCCTTTGATGATTAGAACTGAGAGATTGGAGAGAGAGTGGTTTTCTTGTGAGAAATGTGCACCCACAGGTAACTGGGTATTTTTGTCTTTTGATATATTTTTGATGTACATTCATTCTGTTGTTTGGTTTCGCCTACATATTTTTCATCTGGGCATTTTGGATGAGATCTATTACATTTCTGGAAGTGCATGTGTAAGATCCAGGAATGGTGATGGTTCTGTTGTGGGATGTAGTTATTGTGGGAGTGGTTGAGATGTGTTGGCATGTTTTACATTTCTTGTCTTGGCATGGTCTGGATCCATTCAGTGTGCTTTGGGCCATAGGAAATTTTCTTCTGGTGATCAGGTTGGTGAGGTTTGGTGCCTGTTTAAAAGGCTAGGACAGGTGGCTCTGGAGAGATCTCTTTAAGAATTGGGTCTTCTAGTATGGGTTGCAATGGTATGAAGATTTTCTATATAGGTTCCAGGGAAGGATGGTATGCCATAACTAATAGTGTGTGATTCATGGGGATTTTCTCCTTGTTCTGCAGCAGTTCTTCACGTGTTATCTGGGTGGCTCTTTCAAAAGTATGATCTATCTTTTTGGAGGAGTGTCCTTGTTGAATGAAAGCTGTTTTGAGATTTGTGGGATGACGATTGTGGGGGTTGTCCTCTGTGTAGATGTGGTGGTATTGGAGGTCTTGGCTATATATTATAGCTTTCATGGTGTGTTTAAGGTGATTGCTGGTTCTGTGTGCCTATGAATGTTGGCTTGTGGATTTCCTGTATATGGTGGTTTGTATTTTACCATTCTGGATGTTGATCATAGTGTCTAAAAAGGAAATGCTGGTGCTGGAGTATTCAAGACAGCCTGATGGAGGGGTGATGATTATTGAATTTGTGATGGAAATCAATCAGAAATTGCAGGGTCTCAGTCCAAATGATGAAAATGTCATCTATATATCTTAGGTATAACATGGGATTGATGGTGCAATTCTTGAGGAATTCTTCTTTCGGGTGGCATAAAAAGGTTGGCATATTGTGGGGCATTTTGGTGCCCCTAGCTGTGCCCATGGTCTGGAGGAAGCACTGGTTACTGAAAGTAAAGTTGTTGTGTGTGAGGATGAAGTGTATAAGTTCAGTAATATCTTTAGGTCTGTACTCTGAGTTGTAATCTTGCTCGTGTAGATATGCGAGGCAGTCTTGTATGCCACAGCAGTGTGGGATGTTGGTATATAACCTGCATTTTGCATATTGGGTTAAGCATCTGCTCCATGCAGGAGAGCACACACACACCAGCAGACCTCTTCATGCAGGAAGAAGGATGTTTGTGCCTGAAAGCTTGTAAAGAACATTTTTTTCCAACTATTTAGTTGGTTTAATAAAAGATATCACATTTACCCAAAGAACCTTGTCTACCTCTGTGCTTCCTTAGATGAACACAGCTGTAACCAGCACCGCCGAATTGTAAGCTTTGGTCACATTTAACAGCTGACTTTTTATATCCTGGGTAAGACTGTGGTACTGTGCTTACACGTCAGGGCATTAATTTCTTTCCATTGTCAGATAAATGATAACTAAGCAAGCTTCTGTTTCTTTCACCCTCTCTTTGAATTATCATCCACTGACCACTACTACCTGCATTAGATAGTTTTATCTGTTATACAGATATTTTAGATACCTTAGAAACTTTCTCCAGGATACAGCTACTACACTAAAAAGTTGAAGTTAAACTGTGGTTTATAAAATAAATGTTGATGTATGGTTATTTGACACAGTTCAAATTACAACAAAATTAATCATAAGATGTTTTTACTTTTTGCAGTGGGGAACTAGTAGATAAATCTTTTATACATGCCATTGAATCAGCAGTTATAGATTGGAGTTACCAGGTACAAGGAGCATTGAAGAGAGAATCATCAGAGCCTCTTCTACAAGGCAGCAACCCCAACCCAAAGGTGGAATTAGAGTTCTGGAAAAGCAGGTACCTTGTGGGCAGCTTGGCAGTTTATGTTTTTCTGTTAAAGCTTGCATGTTAGAAAAATGCTTGCAGTGGCTAGAATTATTTGTGCAAGATATAAAGACTGAGCAGTTTGAAGTTCAATAAAGACTCAAGAGGGAGAATATAGTACATAAACAATCATGAACAAGTACAGACATGATCATGAGCCGTGAAATACATTTGAGGTTACTACTTGTGCAGGTGGCATCATTTCAACAGAGCACCAGGCTAGGGGTTTCAGTCTTATTTAATACCCTTTTCATCAGTTCACCAAGAACAAGCAACATGATAACCACTGACTGTGTCTACATGAGACGGTGACTGCACAGTAGCTCATGACTACTGCGCAGTATTGTTGTGTGGCAGGAAGCATGATGTAATGCTATTGCACAGTAGTCACGAGCTGTTGTGCAGTCAGCATTAAGGAAAAGCCATTCCCCAGCGTGACTCTGAGGTAACAACTTCTGAGTCAGCATCTCAAGTAATCATGGCCACGGATGCTTGTTTCCTGAAGAGCTACTGTCATCTGCAGAAATAGTTAGTGGTGTTTTTCCTTTCAAGAGGGTAACTGGTATTGCTATCACTGTGGAACCTATGTTCCATTTGTCATATGTACGATACACCCTATCTATTGGATAGAGATTATTGTTCTTCTGGAGGATCTTCCTCTTTTAAACTATTCTTCTGTAGGAGATGTCCATGCAGCTGTGGGTCCACAGCCCCTAACATACCTCTGCCAGGGAGGAATTCATTTAATACAATTGCTTTGGAGGTACTCCTGGTTTGATTGGTAGATGACACTGACTCTTGACTATGGAAAAGGTAATTCCTCTCAGAATTTGGAATTGCTTTTAGCTCCTTGGAACCAGTCAGGCCTCACAAATTCCCCTGAGCCAGCACACCGATACAGACTGGCCTACGATGTGCTGAACACACACAGAATAAAAATGGATGTGTTGAGCTTCTGTGATCTCCATGGAAAGTTACATTATCTCTTGCTTTGTTTTAGGTGTGACAATTTGGAATGCATTTACAATCAGCTAAAAGCCAGGAAGGTTAGGAATATGGCAGAACTTCTGGACAGAGTGCAGAGCAGCTACTTCCCATCCTTCAAAGCAATGTTCAGAGATGTTGCAGCAGGTAAGGAGAGAGCACTGCTTTACCACAGATGCATGAGCTGCTGATTTCACTGTTGGTCTTTTGTCCATCTCCTTGTGTTTGTAGCACAGTCCCATTACATTTGATTGCATTGGCTGCTTGACATTCTAAAAGCGTTTGAGAGGCCTCAGAGCCTTGGGCAGAGGAGACTGCAGGATGGGGTCTGCTGAGGAAGACATCATAGGGAAGAAAGGGCTAGCAGGAGTAATAAAAATAGGGTAATGATTCTAATTATGTTATGTCCTTATGATCTGGAATATGAAATTAGACTACTATAGTTTTAGTTCTATACTGGGACCAGTTTGATTTTTGGTCTGTAGATCCAGAGAGCTCTTAAAGGTCTTGGAGAGTTTTTGGAGGCTTTATTCCATTTTTAATAATAATATTGTATAATCCAGAATGTCTCACTGTGATGGATGTCAAAGCACTCCATTATTTATTGGATTAATTTAATTCTTTATTAAAGCATGGCAGTGCTGCACAACAGTTTGATGTAAAAATGATAAAATGATGAAGTTAAAGTTACAAGAGGTGTTTTAATTAGATTCTCATTGACCAAATTGGAGTTTGGTCAAAACTCTGAGATTTGTTCCTTCAAACTTGTTGAACTAATGATAATTTGCATTTCGGCATATAGCACCTTTTGATCTGAGGCTATCAAATCACTTGTCGGAGGTGAACAAGTTTTGTTGCTCTCAGCTGTGTGGAGTGCTGAAGTAACATGTTCAGTCACACAACAGGACATAGTTGAGTTGATTGTAGACCTTAGATCTTGACTTTCAGTCCCCTGTTTTAACAAGTTCATACCATCTGTGAGAAAAGTGGCAAGGGCAAGTTAATATAAGTACTTGATTTTGTTTCATCTGAAAAGTGCCATTATAGTTTCTTTCAGCATTAGGTTGAACTGTATCACAAAAGCAGCCTCCGTGTCATTTCATGTAGCTCCTGTAATAGTAATTGAGGTTTTCCCTACTGAATTGCTTAACAAGATCTGAAGACTGTGGCCAAAAGTGGTTTAACTTCAGAAGAAAATAAAATTGTAAGAGTTCAAGCCTGGTCTAGTGTCCTCTAGGTGTTGTAGTGGATTAACATACCAGCCTTTGTCTGGAACTACTACTTTGGATAGAAAAATAAAGGAATTTGACTCCCTATGTAAAGAATAAAATGTAAAGAATGTTAAGATGTTTTATTCAAAGATTTTGTAATTCTTACAAAAAAAGTAGTTGCCAAGAATTTTTCAACTGTGTGTGTTTGAATAAAAAAAATAATTAAAATATTCCTCTCTTCAGAAATTCCCAGATAGGCCTAGCCAGTGGAGTTCAGTCCAGCCACAACAAAATCTTGAGAACTCAGTGCTCTTTCCTTCACTGTTGGTGAAGGCAAAAACTAAAAGAAAGTCAGTGATAGATTTCCTGTTTTATGCACATGGTAACTAGGGCATCTATATGCATTCTGGGCACCTACTCTGACGTGCTAATTAACACACATTGGTTAAACTTGATCCATTGAGTCTAATGGAATGTTCTAATTACTGTGTCATGTATTCAGTGTCCCCATGCTTCAGAATGGTGGCAGGGGCTCTTTAAATAAAGCTCTGAACAAGCTTTAGTTAAAGCTCCCCCGCTGCTGTTTTGAAGCGCAGGATGCTGAATACATGTGACGCTGTGGGTGCTTCAGTTAGAGTGGCTCTTGGAGCCTCCTCCTGCCCCCCGCTCCACCATATTTTTTATTTCTCTCTCTCTCTTTTTTTTTTTCTTGCATGATAACAATGCCTCAACCCTCCACCTGCTCCTACAAAGTCTTCTGCAGCAGAATAAAAATTGGCTATTAATGGAGTAGCTTCCATGGAATTGAGGAGTAGCTTCTTTTTGTGCTGATATGTGTTGCTGTACCATAACCACTCTAATGGTAAAGGTTTTAAAGTTTTTGAATCAAAGAAAATTAGGGTTGGAAGGACCTCAGGAGATCATCTAGCCCAAACCCCTGCTCAAAGCAGGACCATGCCTAACTAGACCATCTCAACCATGGCTTTGTCAAGCCAGGTCTTAAAAACCTCCAATGATGGAGATTTCACCACTTCTCTGGGTAACCCATTCCAGAGTTTTACTACCATCCTAGTAAGAAAGTTCTTCCTCATATCTAACCTAAACTTTCCTTGCTGCAACTTGAGACCACTGCTCCTTGTTTTGTCATCTGTCAACGCTGAGTACAGTCTAGCTCCATCCCCTTAGTAACCACCCTTCAGGTAGCTGAAGGCTGCTATTAAATCCTGCATCAGTGTTGTCTACTCTAGACTAAATAAATGTAGTTACTACATTGTAGTTTCTTCAACCTCTTCTCATAAATCTTGTGCCCCAGCCCCCTAACCATTTTCATTGCCCTCCACTGGATTCTCTCCAATTCGTCAGTTTTCTTTCTGTAGAGGAGGGCCCAAAACTGGACAGAGTACTTACCTGTGCCTAATAGAGGGGAAGAATCACTTTCTGCAATCTGCTAGAAACGCTCTTACTAATGCAGCTCAGTATGCCATAAGCCTTCTTTGCATCAAGGGCACACTCTTGACTCCTATTCAGTTTATCGTCCACAGTACCCCCAGGTCCTTTTCTTCAGAACTGCTGCTTAGTCATTAAGTACTGAAACCTGTATGCATGGGGTTGTTCTGTCCTAAGTGCAGGACTTTGCACTTGTCCTTGTTGAACCTCATGAGATTTATTTTGATCCAATCCTCCATTTTTTTTAGGCCTCTCTTAATCCTAACCCTACCCTCCAGGGTACCTACTACTTTCCTCAGCTTGGTGTCATCTGCAAACTTGCGGAGGGTGCACTCCATCCCATCTTTCAAGCCATCAATGAAGATGTTGAACAAAACTAGCCCCAGGACCGACCCCTGCAGCACTCCATTTGATACCAGCTGTCAATCAGACATTGAGCCATTTGCATCAAGCCATTTACCCTCTGACTCTGATGATCCAGCCAGTTTTCTTTCCACCTGACAGAACATTCATCCAACTCATACTTCCTTAGCTTGTTTGTGAGAATGTTGTGAGGATGTACCAAAAGCCTTGTTAAAATCAAGGTGTATATCATGTTCACCGCTGTTCCTGCATCTACAGAGCCAGTCATCTCATCATAGAAGGCAATCAGGTTGGTCAGGCACAATTTACTCTTGGTGAATCCATGACGACTATTGTTAATCATCTTCTTCTCCAAGTGCTTAGAAATGGATTCCTTGAGGACCTGCTCCATGTCTTTTCTAAGGACTGGGATGAGACTGACCAGTCTGTAGTTCCCTGGATCCTCCTTCTTCTGTGTCTTAAAGACAGGCACTATGTTTGCCCTTTTCGAATTGTCTGGGACCTCTCCCAATTGCCATGAGTTTTTAAAGATGATGGCTAGCAGCTTTGCGATCCCATTGGCCAACTCCCTCAGCAATCTCAGGTGCATCCTGTTTGTCCCCATGGACTTGTACACATCTGGCTTTTCTAAATAGTCCGTAAATCTGTTCTTTTGCCACTGGTGACTGCTCACCTCCTGCCCAAACTGTTCTGTCAAGTGTACTAGTCTGGGAGCTGACCTTGCCTGTCAAAACTGAGGTAAAAAAGGCATTGATACTTCAGCCTTTTCTGCATCATCTGTTACTAGGTTGCCTCCCCAAGTCAGTAAGGGACCTACACTTTCACCGATCTTCCTCTTGTTGCTGACATATTTGTAGAAACCCTTCTTGTTACCATTCATGTACCTTGCTAGCTGCAACTCCAGTTGTGCTTTGGCCTTCCTGATTTCATCTCTGTACGCCTGAGCAGTATGCATCTACTTCTCATGAGTTGTTTGTTCAAGTTTCCGCTTCATATAAGCTTCCTTTTTGTGTTTTAGCTCATGTTAGCAACCGCAACACTCACCAGGCGGTTTACCAGTTGAACTGGGGGGCGGGTGGATGACCAACCCGCCTTGCGGACAGGCCGGGGATGAAAGGGACACTGACTCAGTTGGAAGATAGTAAAATTGAACTTAACGTTTACTTACAGTAAGATTCCAACAGTGGTTACACAACAAAACGACAGTGGTGAAGCAGTAGTTAAAGATGACAGGTAGGAGATAGCAATTGCTTTTTCCGATGTACGTGCGGATGG